TAGTATTAACACTTAGATGTGCAGAAGATGATGTGCAAATAGAGATACTGGGGTGCAAATGAACAAAATAAATAACAATATGGGGATGAGGTAGTTGGGTGGGCTAATTACAAATGGGCTGTGTACAGGTACAGTGACCGCCTAGTGAAAAAGTAAAGTTCTCTCTCTGTCTTTCCTTTGAAAAATGTAAAGGGCCCTAAAATACAACTTGCAGAGTTGTGGACTGCGAAGGTGGTCCAGCTGTGAAAGGAGAGACGGAGGATTGACTTGACAACATGGATGACATTTCCAAAGAGGGACAGTAATCGGTGTGGAACATGATTGGAACATTGTTGTAGGATTGTGGCCTAGCTTGTGACCCAGGAGGATTATCAGAGTAAGAGGTTGATTGGTAATGGGACGTTCCTGATTAACAGTACAAGCTAAACTGGGCTGGGCTGGCCGCTTTACACATCCACCATAGTTCCAGGAACCATGCTAGAAAGGAAAATGTGAAGAGAAAAATATCCAAGATAGCACAGTACGGGTCGGGTTAGCCTTATAGTATGAATCAGACATTTTATGACATCATCCTCTATGTTGGTGCCCTGGGGCTGAGGGCGACTTAAGAAGCTGTTAATCATTCATAGACCTTTCTGCCAGTTGGATCTGCTGTCATGTGATGCTTTGAGTGCTTAAAGTTGCACTATGCAGAAATCACTCCGCCATTTCCTGGTTGCTAAAACTCTAATAGTTTGCCTAATTTCAGTTTATGTGACAAAATCAGATAGTATAGTGTAGAGAATCATTGTACCATCTAAGCCGCAGTGAAACCACACGGCAAGGCTTCTTAACAGCTTCTACCCCCAAGCCATAAGACTCCTGAACAGCTAATCATGGCTACCCGGACTATTTGCATTGCTAACTAGCATGGTCTGCTCAACTAGTCCAGCTCTGAGCAACATTTGAAAGATTACTGAGATGGAATCCAGACCCCGGCTGTGTTCTTAGAACCACTGTGTGTGTGTGTGTGTATGTGTAGCAGCATATTTTGGGACATACAGCTCGGTTCAGTCGATTCCCCAGTGACTACTCTTACCCATGCATGACGTCCTAGGCAAAGAGCAAATGGCCTGGCTTTCATTTTTAGTAGTATTTTTATACTTGTCTAGACTTTTCACTGAGGTGAAATGGTGCTCAAAGTAAACTGCCCAGCTTTGTTGCCCCTGGCCTGCAATGAAGGGGCTGCAAATAGGCAAGCAGTTTGGAATGTTGTTGTGAGCTGCATGTGGAATGTCTGTGTGGCTTCATATAGCTTGCATGATTTATGTAAACTCATATTGAATGGATGTAATTGAAGATGACAGTGCTGCCTGGAGTCTTCTCCTCCCCTTTGTCATGCATGTGTTAATGGCACCAAGTGGTAATACCGTGGTGGTAACTCTTCTCCCGAACACACACTGGGGCCCTTATGGGCCATTTCCTATAACGACCCAAGGTGTGAAGTTTGTCACTTATTAATATTTGAGGAGAACACACTGTGTTCTTTTATCCTGTGTATGAATGTCTTCTAATGATGCATCACATCACATCAAACGCATTCCATTCCCTCTCTAGTTTAGCAGTTGTATTGTGGTCATTGTTTTATACGTCTTATTCCACTCTGAGCCCAACAGGCAGGGACTGAGACATTGGGATGTGTCCCATATGGCACCGTATTCCATTTATAGAGCTCTGCTTTTGACCAGAACCCATAGAGGATAGGATTCCATTTGGGACTGAGAGATGGTTCTAAGGCAGGCAGCCTTAGTTAATCCATTAGGAAAAGGTGATGTCACCCTGGAGGGGATAAGGGCCCCGCTCTGAGGCTTACAGACAGGCAGGAAGTTAGCTAGCTGGGAAGCCAAGCAGTACTAGGCCTAAGGTCGCCATGGAGACATGGGCAGAGAACTAGTTAAGGGCAGGGAGGGACACATGAGGAGTCTTGACTGAAGTCCAGGACAGGGCACTCTCTGTTGTGGATCCATGTTGCCAAGGCTCCCTAGTTGACTGCTTCCGCTGGCCTTGCAAGCATGGGCATGGGCACTGTCTCAGTGTAGGCTATTACCAGGTAGTAAACTTAACTGCTATTGTTGACAGTGACATGTTATAAATTGGGAGTCATTTCTTGCTTTTGCTTTTTCAGACTTATTGAAAATGTCAACATATTAAATCTTACACTACGATTGGCAAGCAACGTGTTGTTGTATTAAAGTGTTACGATTATATAAGTGGGTTGGCCTTTGCCTGCAGTGGTACACTACAGGAGAGCACAGCTCAGGTCATAGGCCTGCACATTGAATGAGACAGAGCCGCCGACAGGCTGGCATATAGAGAAGAAGCAGACTGGCTGGAGGATTGTGGTCTCATGCATAGTGAGTTGTGTAATAATGTGTCAGGCTAATAATAGGTAATGATGGATCACCCTGTAGTAATGTAAGCAAGGCCTACTTAAGACTTTCTTAGCCACAACAGCACAATGTGAGGTTTCACAATTGTGTCCCTTGAAAGCTGTGATGGCCGAACTAATTCGTTTGGTTGTTTTGGAGCAGTTTGCGCTTTCATAATGGCTAAAGTGTTTCAGTTGTTGGTCAAAAGGTGTGTAATAGTTTGTATTACGTTTCTACTTTTGCAAACCTCTTGTGCAGTCATTCATGCTCAGTTTTTGTCTCCTTGCTCATAAAGTTGTCATTGTGTTTGTGTCTAAATGGAAATTATTTATTGAGGGGGCAAAACCTCTACACACTCACAGTCCTTATGACTAAGGACAGATATTCAATAAAAAGGTTAATCCACGGTAGGCAGACAAGAAGATGACTCTCGAGTGGCACAGTGGTCTAAGGCACTGCATCGCAGTGCTAGCTGTGCCACTAGAGATCCTGGTTCGAATCCAGTCGTAGCCGGCCGCGACCGGGAGACCCATGGGGCGGCACACAATTGGCCAGGGTAGGGGAGGGAATGGCCTGCAGGGATGTAGACTCAGTGGTAGAGCATGGCGTTTGCAACGCCAGGGTTGTGGGTTCGATTCCCACGGGGGGCCAGTATGAAAAATTGTATGCACTAACTGTAAGTCGCTCTGGATAAGAGCGTCTGCTAAATGACTAAAATGTCAATGTAAGATAATTGAATTGTCCTTAGGGATGTTCTGTCCTTTTGAAAGGAGAAGAACTGGTTTTAACGCATCTATCAAAAAGCTGTCTGTTCTCTCTGCTGCTACAGTTGCCTTTTCAGTTGAATGGGCCATTGTTGTTTTCGAGGGTGATGTTGCTTTGGAATATTGTTGCCTGATGCCCCATTCATCCAGAGGTATGAACACATAGAGACTGGAGGGTAGGCCTGTGACGTGTGTGTGTGTGTGTGTGTGTGTGCACGTGTGAGCTCTGGTTGGAACACAAGAGAACGATTGGAATATTGCCTAGCAGCCACAATTGAAACCGTTGTTGATGTCACCTAGGCCTACTCATGTGCCTACTAGGCTCTATTGCAGGCTGCTGCCCTACGTGAGGGAAAATACGAAAAGACGCCAACTTTGCGCCTCTGTCCACTCACACCGTTATGTTTTGAGATAGTGTTTCATTGCGGGGTCGATGGTGACAACGAAGACAGATTGGCCTGGGTAAGTGGATACTCCTCTTGAAATGGCCCATATCACCAGCTTCTGAAACGGCCCATATTGTCTGGCTTATTGAGTAATAGATCATAGTGCTGCCAGGCTGCAGATCAAAGTATCTGCTATGAATTCCAGAGCACTTAAGCAGTAAATCATATCCCGATGGCAGTACTGTAGCCTTATCAGGGTCCCTGACTCTAATCACGACTTAAGTTCGGAACACAGTGATCAGTCACACCATGCTTTCAGTGGTGCAGTAATGCAAGTCACTGGTGACTAGGCTTTGAACGACCTCTTGAAGGTGTCTGAAAACTGTGAGAGCCACACACAGAGAGAGAGAAAGCTAAGACCAAGTTGATCTGCCAGTGACCGAAGGGTTCGAGCAGAACGATAGTCAGTCAGTCAGTGACAGTCGATACTTCTGAGCTGTTGCTCTAAGTTAATCCAAGCTGCTGAAGAAATGCCGTTCCTCTCCATTCTTTTTTCCATCCTGTCTTTATCCCTGGCAGCTGGAGCCACTGGGCTCCCAGTATCCTGTGACTGTAGGGTTATGTAACAGAAAGGGAAGCATGCAGGGGCCCAAATGGGAACTGCACCAGTGGAGCAGAGTACTGTATTGGCAGCACGGACTTCAGACGACAGACAGCTGCCTTAGAAATGTTAAAGCCAAACTGATTAATATTCCAGCTGCCATTTTTAAAACAATATTTCAACATTTATGGGAACTTGGAAGTGCCATTTAAGAAAACGTATTGGCATGAATACCAATGTATTACAATCAATGACTTGTGTGTTTCCCCTTTTTTAGAACTTGGAAGGTTAACGAGTTCTAGTTAAGTGAGAAAGAACTGAACCACTCAACTGGAGGTTTTATTTCAAAGCCCCGGCCTAGCAACAAAACTTCCCACGTTTGAGACAGAGCGGCATAGATTAAGAAAGTTGTCTTGATTCTGTGCCTCAGACGTAGTCAGCAGCTATTGGAAATAATTGCTGTTTGCTGTCATTTCCAGTTGCTTGCTTCCTCTCCAAAGGAATAAAATGACACATGACAAAGCTACTCTGTGTTAAGTTGTAGTTAGTTTCCATGTTCCCTTCCAACTTTGAGGATCTGAGTTGATTTGCATAGGTCTTGCAATGTGGTTTTAATGTGTCCTCTCTTCTGTTTTTCCCTTAGGTTGATTTGGGGATTTATCTGGACCAGACCTCAACATAGCTGTTTGAAGGACCACAATGGCTGTGTACTCCAGACACCTGGATCTATCCTTGCCTTGACAACACAATTTACAATTAAACCTGAGAAAGACACAAACATCTCATAACTCTTAGCACCAACCAGGTGTTTCTTTGTTGAATCATTTCTGTTCCTGTGGAGTGTTATATCAGAGAGACTTCATCAGACATCACCATGCCGATCCTCAAGCAGCTAACCTCGAACCAGTCCAAGCGTCGCTCCCGGGCCGACCTGACTGCAGAGATGATCAGCGCCCCTCTCGGGGACTTCAGACACACCATGCATGTGGGTCGTGGCGGGGATGCCTTCGGGGACACCTCGTTCCTCAGTACCCGGTCTGGGGAGCCCCCTAAAGAACCAGCTCCAGAGGTGCAGCAGAGCTCCCCTGGACCTGTCCCAAAACCAGGTCTGCTGTCCCGAACCTTCAGGAGCAGCAAGCGCTCCCAGTCGGTGAACCGCGGCGACAACTACGAGAACGCGTTGGCACCCCCTGGTGGCTCGCCAAACGTTGTGAAGAGTGCCATCTCCCTTCCCTACCTCAACAACGAGGATGCGGGCAGGATGGGCGGTGGTCACCGGATGCCCAAGAGCGTCTCCTCCAGCCCTCTGAAGAAGCTGCCCGAGGTCGACGGAATCAGCAAACCGGTCAACGGCGCCGCAGGCCATGGACCTGGAATTCGACGAGCGGAGCTTTGGCGAACTGACTGACCTGCCACCGTCCCATCCTCGGGGTGGTGGGATGAAGCACGCGGAGTCCATCATGTCGTTCCACATCGACCTGGGTCCCTCCATGCTGGGGGACATCCTCAGCGTCATGGAGAAGAAGGGCTGGGAGGAGGACGACCTGGGGTACGAGGAGGGGAAGGGCAGCGAGGGCCGTTGGGTCACCCCCCATCAGTCCTCCCACTACGGAGGACGATGTCAAGGACCAGGTGGATCTACAGCCGCCAGTCAGGCCCCCACGCAGCATCTATCCCCAGCAGAAAATAATGTCCGACCCCCCCTACACCCCTCCCAGGAACTACCACCCCCACAGCCACCTGGACAGCTGCTCTTTTTCTTCCTCCGGCTCCGCCACACTTGAGGAGAAACCACTCAACCACCTGCAGGAGGGGGACACGGACAGCGCCAAGTACAGCTCTCCGGGGGGTGGGGGGGAGGACGACAAAGACTTCTCCTTCATGGACGAGGACGAAGATGAAATCAGGGTGTAAAACAGAACAGGGCTGTAACACCACCGCCACAGAACGTGCTTTATAAGGACACCAGAACGTGGTTTGCGAGGACACAGAGGGAGACAAGTATTCTTCATGGGTTTTTGAAGCTAGTACAAGCCTGGGAGGGAAGGGAAGGGTTGGGAGCACGATGAAGATGAAAAACCCCTACATTTTTACATATGGATCTATCCAGAGAAGCTCTATGTGCACACCTTATTCTGCTATTACTTCCTGTATTAGGATACAATCACGCACCATCTGTTACTGAGCCTTATTCACTCCACTTTGGCTAGGTGTGTGTTATTGTCCTATGAGTCCTTTTACTCTAGCCATTACAGAATTCCAGTACACACACACACCGCTCTGAGACACCAGTTATTGGTTTGAGGTTTTCCTTTTGTAGAAATACGATCTGTCATTATGATGATCTAATCCCAGTTCCAATACGTCATCACAGTGTGTTTATCCTTATAAGGGGGCAAATCTCAAGGATCTCAACCCTCATATCCACTCATATCAAACTTAACATATCCCACCCACACCCCCATTGTCTTTTCATCCAGAGGATTTCCCTTCCCTAACATATACCTTATAGCGCATTAATAAGGAAGGGAAAGCCAACCAGCGGTCTTCACACTGATTGTCACATTCTTTAAAAGTGGAAGTATGGAGGTTGACCGAGGTCACTTTTGATCACACGGCAGTCCTCCTCGAGGGAGGTGTGACGCGTTAGGTGGAGGCCGGGTCATATGATGTCATGGACTGAACAGTATGTTTCTCACACAGCTTTGGAGGAAGGAAGAGGGAAAGGGAAAAATAAAAGAAGATAAAAGTATCCCAGGGTTTAGCTAGCATAGCCAAGTAGCCTTGGGGCCTTGAATGAATTGTATGTGTATGTGTGTGTTGAGTGAGGTGAGAATCGTGAGATGCAGTTAAAATATTGGTTTGTTAATATTCAGAAGGTTAAAGATGTTTTTCTTCTTCCTATGTTTATACATTGTACGCACATACAGAATTGATAAATTGGTCTTCTAGCAGGTTCTTAATCAATGTCACAACTTGGTTGTTCATTATTCCAACCATTAGTCAGCTTTATTGTCCTCACCTGTTCACTAAAATGGACCAGTTCACTAAACATGCTCTATACATCCAACACACTCTGAAGTCATAAATGATCCAACAGTTGGTTTCAGTTGAATTTGTTAGTAACTACTTACGATTTAGTATGATCTGTCCTTATTGGATGTGCCCTGTTTTTAAGTCACCATCATTTTGATTATAGGGAGTTTTGTTAAAGTTAGGGTGGATTTTGGTGATCTTCTTTAGTTCATCCAATCCTAAGGTACTAGCCGATCCAGTGTGCCAACTTAGGCCTTAGCTTTGGAGTTGTTTGGCCATGAGTCCATGACACTTTGTTAGCTCAGATCAATGGACTCAGTAGAAACATAGAAACACACACAACAACAACACTGATCTCAGTCATATCTCCCCTGCTAGCACCGCCAAGGTGTAGCAACATAGCTCACTCCCTAAAACACTAGTTTTTGTACATAATCACACTATTTTTTTCGTGTACATTTTTCTTTTTTTGCCTTTTTGTTGGAGCTTTCGTGTCCAGTAGCACTTTTATTGTACAAATGTTTAGAAACCGATTAAAAAAAACATAACTTACAGGAGCAGAGAAAGTGGTTGTGAACAAGAGTAGTGACCGTACAGTAGGAGACTGTTATGTCTACAGATGTAGGATCTTAATTTGAGGCAGTTTGCTACAAATAATCCTGCAGCAACAGGAAATGTGAATTATTATGTGGATTATAATTAATTAACATCAACATTTCAAAGTGGAAATTACAAACTTCAGAAGCCTTTTTAAACTTTAAATACACTACACGTTTTACATTTCCTGCATAACAGGGTGATCTAATTAAGATATTATATCTGTATGTGGTCATCTCTTGCCCCACACACCACAGGCTTGTAGGATCAGCAGGTTAGGAGGAAAGAGAGCAGTGACATCTGAATGGAGGAGGATAAAAGTAATAAGAGAACACTAGTGATAAGTGACTGTTACCCTCCTCTCTCCATTGCACCACACAGGCCTGGGCTACTGTAGGAGCAGACTGAATCAACACCATCTGGCTTCACTCCACCCTCTCATTCATAAACCTATTTGGCTAAATGGTCGGTAACCGAACCAACGACTCATCCATTCATGAGTCACATGCCTGGGGAAGGAAAGGGCAGGTGCGCCTGTTTAGTTTCTCCCACAGTTTGTGCGTCCCAAATGGCACCCTATTCCCTATATAGAGCACTACTTTTGACCAAGGCCCATAAGACTCTGGTCAAAAGAAGTGCACTATATAGCGAATAGGGTGCCTTTTGAGATGCATGCAGTGTGACTATAGGTTCCTCACTCATGTTCATTAATTTGGTCAGATTATAATCTCATCTGTTATGGTAAAGCAGGAAGTACCTGCTCACCCCTTCCTGGATCCCTGAGTAATCTATTGCCTTTATGCTTGTGAGAGGAAATTACATTTGTGCCATATGTGACACTGGGGAGCACTGTTTTTGTTTCCTGTTATGACGTTGGTTGATTGGTCGAGTGGGGAGCACATTATTCTATGGTATTAAGTGAGGGGAGGGACATAATGCCAGGATGTGACATCACTTAGCCATGTGTACATGTATGTATTAAAGAGAGATCAGTACGGTTCATTGATTTAAAACGACCAGGTGGAAATGTGCCAAGTATATAATAGTCATCCTCTGACATTTTGATATTGCTTCTTGATTTTTGAATGACACATTTACAGGCTACGGCAGTATAGGCTACTTACAATAAGTGTCAGGCCTCACACTGTTCATTTGTAAATGGGCCAAATTTGGGATTGCTTTGTGTTATTATTTTAAACTCAGTTGCTTCTTCCATTTGTTATAGAATCTGTCCATGGAAAGTGGGTTGAGCTGCTGCAATCCCTTACCTGTTCTTACCCAATATGGGGATACTTTATAAAAAACCTTAATTTTCTATCAAAACACTCCTTCCTATTCACCACCATTTTATTAGCTACTGAAGCAAAGTAGATAAATACTAATTGTGTCATCTATGAAAAACGGTGACTATTGTTATGTTTCATTACAGGCATTATGGCATAGTGACGCTAATGTAAGAGCCATCAGAAGGTAAAGTTAATTTGAACTGCAAGCAGATTTCAGTGCCCTGGCCTGATGCCTGTTGTGGGGAGAGTGGTGAAATGGGGAAAGGATTGTGAAAAAGAACAGCCTCAGCTGTAGAATGTTCAGCTGTAGAATGTTTAAAACAAATTATTCTGTGGCTATAGTTTTTATGCCATGTATGTTCTATTTTTATTTTCCTCTCCTTTATCTCTCGTTCTACTGTTTATTAATATCTATTTACCTCCATCACTCTTCCTCCTCTGAAATAACAGCTATATTTTTCAATAAAAAGAGAAAGCTGGTAATCTTTACCAGGAGTGGTGTTGTGGCTTATTTCACCTTCTATGTTATGTTGTCTGTCACTATAGGAGCTTTTTCAGTGGGAAAATACTTATACGAGTCAGTTCACGTTTTATTTGCCCAATTAAGAAGATTTACACGCATAAGGAGCCTGAAGTGACTTCTTACACACTGCTATTCACACTCAAAGCAGTGTTGACAGAGATGCTCCTCTCCAAAAAGTCCACACACTCCACACAGTTAAGGATAAAAAGACAGACAATCTGTGTTTTTTTTTGTTTTAATGTCACGTGCACAAGTACAGTGAATTAACTTTCTTGCAAGCTCTAAACCCAAAAATGCAGTAATCAATGACAACGTAATACTAAAAATAACATACAATGCATTCGGAATGTATTCAGACCCCTTGACTTTTTCCAAATTTTGTTACATTACAGCCTTATTCTAAAATTGATTAAATTGTTTTTTCCCCTCATCAATCTACACACAATACCCCATAATCACAAAGCAAAAACAGGTTTAGATTTTTTGGCAAATGAATTAAAAGTAAAAAACTGAAATATCACCTTTACATAAGTATTCAGACCCTTTACTCAGTACTTTGTTGAAGCACCTTTGGCAGCGATTACAGCCTCAAGTCTTCTTAGGTATGACGCTACAAGCTTGGCACACCTGTATTTGGGGAGTTTCTCCTATTCTTCTCTGCAGATTCTCTCAAGCTCTGTCAGGTTGGATGGGGAGCGTCGCTGCACAGCTATTTTCAGGTCTCTCCAGAGATGTTAGATCGGGTTCAAGTCCGGGCTCATTCAGAGACTTGTCCCGAAGCCACTCATGCGTTGTCTTGGCTGTGTGCTTAGGGTCGTTGTCCTGTTGGAAGGTAAACCTTCGCCCCAGTCTGAGGTCCTGAGCGCTCTGGAGCAGGTTTTCATCAAGGATCTCTCTGTACTTTGCTCCTTTCATCTTTCCCTTGATCCTGACTAGTCTCCCAGTCCCTGCCGCTGAAAAACATCCCCACATCATGATGCTGCCACCACCATGGTTCACCGTAGGGATGGTGCCAGATGTGACGCTTGGCATTCAGGCCAAAGAGTTCAACCTTGGTTTCACATGGTCTGAGAGTCCTTTAGGTGCCTTTTGGCAAACTCCAAGCGGGCTGTCATGTGCCTTTTACTGAGGAGTGGCTTCAGTCTGACCCCTCTACCATAAAGGCCTGATTGATGGAGTGCTGCAGAGATGGTTGTCCTTCTGGAAGGTTCTCCCATCTCCACAGAGGAACTCTGGAGCTCTGTCAGAGTGACCATTGGGTTCTTGGTCACCTCCCTGACCAAGGCCCTTCTCCCCCGATTGCTCAGTTTGGCCGGGCGGCCAGCTCTAGGAAGAGTCTTTGTGGTTCCAAACTTCTTCCATTTAAGGAATGATGGAGGCTACTGGCGTTCTTGGGGACCTTCAATGCTGCAGAAATGTTTTGGTACCCTTCCCCTGATCTGTGCCTCGACACAATCCTGTGTCAGAGCTCT